CGTAACAGATATTGATACTGTATGCGTTTTAGTTGTTTTGCTTTAGAAACAGTAGCGTTTGCTTTATTACAAACAACAAATCAGTAAAAGTCACAACAGAGATTGATATTGTGTGCGTCTTAGTTGTTTTGCTTTAGAAATAGTAACGTTTGCTTTATTACAAACGACAAATCGGTAAAAGTCGTAACAGAGATTGATACCGTGTCCGTCTAAGTTGTTTTGCTTTAGAAACTGTAACGTTTGCTTTATTACAAACGACAAATCGGATTACTACAAACGACAAATCAGTAAGAGGTGTAATAGTATACGAGATTAATACTATGTGCATCATAGTTGTTTTACTTTAGAAACTGTAACGTTTGATTATTAAAAATGACTAATCGGTAAGAGTCGTAACTGTATACGAGAGTAGTACTACGTGCGTCATAGTTGCTTTACTTTAGAAACAGTAACGTTCTATTATTAAACGATAAAGACTGAATAACTAAATCGAACGACCTTTTTTCTCTCAAGTAATGATGTGTTCAGTAAAAGTTTCAAATTATAATCGCTGACGTAACAGTCGGTCATCCGTTATAATTGTGTCAGTGTTTTTATTCTTATCCTGTAAATCTATCACTTTTCACATTTCATAACATTTTACTTGTTTTCATACTATTTTAACGTTTTACTTATGTAGATTAATATGACACGGAGAAATATGTGTTTTTGGTAAAAAACAATCTTACTTTGATCCTTGTGGATCGTCAATGTGACAAGTTTCAAGTTATGTTTCCTTTCCAACGAGGAGAAGGGGGGTGAGGGGAAGAATTCTAACTCACATGAAATTCGCCAAGTACTAAAATTTTTACTGTCCGACGAGATATTTGAATTAACTTTTTCCTCTTTTACCGCCTGCGGGGACCACAAAGGTAATGTCTAGGACCGCGCTCAGGCCTTTCTATGTTTGACTAAGGAGCCTAATTTTTATCGAAAGAGATGCTAAAAATCTGCTAATTCGCCGCTCCAACGCTCCCCTAAGGCTATATAATAAAATACTACTAGAACAAGAAGCCTTTAGGCTTTAGCTACAATCCCATTCCAAGTAAACCGTAAACGAGTGAATATTAGGCCAAAAATCTCTCTCTTATGAGTCTTTTGGTGTGGAATGGATTTGCAGTTCCTCTGGGTTTTTAGGTTGGAGTCTCGAGGTTTTTAAAGAAGAAAAAAACGGCCTCGAATTTGATGCTTGCGGTTGTTTGTCGGAATTGTACTACCGGTCACAGGTCCGTTCATTAAAATAAGCCACTTCCAAGCATTTTGTGATAATACCATTGCTTATTATTTATCAGTTACAACTAACACCAAGGTAAAAAAGCTAAAGCTGAATGTGTGATTTCCAGGGATTTGGTCATGGCTTTATGTGAATAACTTGTGAAGCCCAATTAGGCTAAGTGTCGGATTTGTTTGAATCATTTGGGTATATGATTACTTTTATTATGAGAACAAGAAATGTTGGTACAAAATAAAAACAAAAAGAACAAATATATATATATATATATATGGTTAGCATATAGTAGTACCAATTGCAAAAACCGTACAAAAAACATCAATCTCCACATGTTTTCATATGTTCATTATACTTGGCCTCATTATGTTTATAGAGACAGACATTCACTGTTTCAGCCTGTACTATATACTACATTCATTTATATAGTGTAGTTATTATTTCTGTAAGCATTAAAAAATCAAGAGGGCTTAAAAAGGGCCTCTCTTGCCCCTGAGCTTTCTGGCTGTCTTACTCTCTCTTCTAGACTTCTATCTTCCCCCCCATCTCTCTCCCTTTGTCCCTTCTTCCCCTCATTCCCCGGCCACTTCTTCTCATCATTTCCAAACTTCCCACCATTCATCATACTAACGCTAGCTTATTATTATTATTATTATTAGTCGCAGTTAATAATTGGCCCAAAAGTATTCACATCTTTTTTTCAGATTTGATCTTTGCTTTTTTACCTTGGTTTGTCTTCCATATGGGAACTGGACTCTTGGTTGGTTTATTTCTATGGTGATGAAAAGGGTTTTTTTTTTTTTTTTCCCTTTTTGTTTTTGGTTAGTTTGGTGATGGATTGAAAGTGGCGGTGCTGACGAGCTCCTCCGGCTGAGGTACGGTGGCGGTCTTCTTCTTTGGTCAAATTAACGATGAGGGCCGTTGATGAGTTGTTCATTCCGAGGGATCCAGGAATAAAAATGGGTTCTTGTTGGAAATGTCTTCTTGAGGGTTCATGGGTCACAACAACAACACCGTGTTTTTGACGGTGGAAATGGTGGCGTAAATGGTGAGAGTGATATTGGCGGGACGGCTCAATCTAATCATGTTTATCTTCTTTTTTTTTTATATTATGAAAAAAAAAATTACATAGTAAAAGGTTAATCATTTCATAGTTTAGTTTTATTTTGAGGTGTAAAATCTCGCTATCTATAATTAGTGACTGTCTTTCTTTCTCTTTGTAAAGAATGGATATGTAAGCAAAAAGCCGAAGCCTTTATTCTTGAAAGATTTCGCAACTTTCTTGAATTATATTGTTGTTCATTGATAGTGTTTTTGATCTATAATTTCTATTTGTTTGTGTATTTTTATTTGTATTGTTTTCTCATTTTGTTGTTGATTTGGACTGGTGTCGGAGTTTTTTGTGATGGGATGACGATGATGACTTGTTGATGTTAATTTGCTGCATCCAAATGGACCCTTTCAACACTTTTTTTTTTTCTTTTGGAGTCTGAGATTTGTCTTTTGACATTAAATTGGTTAATTGATGTGGGCTGTGGGGTAGCTGAAGGTGACTACTGGTTATTATATTTTTGGGGATGAACTTGACTTTAGGCCAAGAATGGAGGTTTTTTTGCTGGTTCTTTCGTATGCTAGAGTGAGAGCTGTGACAAGTGACAACATCGTTACTTGGCTGTCTTTAGTTCATAGTATTTTTTTTTTTCTTTCTCATTTCAATATCAATATGGTTTATTGAACTAAACACGTAGAGAATGGGGTATGATCTTCAGTAATGCTTCGTTAGTCTTATTTAAAGTAGTAGTATTTTTGCAATTACGAAAAGACTTGTCCGTAAAAGACAACATATATGGTTAAGTTGGAATGATAGACAGGATGACCGATGTTACCACGTTCTTAGATTTGTCCCGCAACAAGGAACCTTCTCTTCTGTATTCCCCTTTTTGCCCCCCTCTTCATGAACTCTAGAATGACTTAGAACTCTTTCTTGGGGTTGCTAAATAAAAATATCTGGATGCTGTTCTTGCCAAGTGGTCTCTCTGATAGTTATATACTCTCTCCGTCTCAAAATTATTGTCCAATTTGAGTTTTCATTTTTAGTATAAATTGAACTAAAAGTGAAAATTCAAACTGGACAATAATTTTGGGAGAGAGAGTATAACATTTGGTTTGTATATGGTTGCTTGGGAAATTAGGCAAAGTAGTGCCCGTTCAATTAGCACTGTAATCATACACATTATTGATAAGTGTGATGCAAAAGATTAGATCAGAAGCATTGTGCATTCACTTTTACTTCTGGTTTTCTTTTAAGGCATTTGAAAATTTTGAAGGGAAATGTTTTTGGTAGAGGTGTGTAGAGTGATACAAAGTCTGGACTGCACGTGGGTTTTGGTCTTTGGTCATTGCATTTATTGGGCTGAAGAAACAGGATGGCAGTAGTAGGCACAGCGTAGTAGGACCAAAGGGGTTTTTTTAAATAAGAGGGAAAAGAGGAAGAGAAAAAGAAAAAAAAAAAAAAAACAATGTTGAACAGAATTGGTGGTGTTGAGCAGTTTAATGCAGACTGCAACAAACATATCTATAAGGCTCTAGATTTCTGCTGTTTCTGCAGTTTTTGGATTTGCCAAAATTTAATAGGCTGATTGTGTGAAGTGTGGAACTAGTGCCCAGTGAACTGTCCCATTATCCCGCTGCAAAAAATTTGCTGTGTAGTAGATTGCACAAATTACTGGTCACCCGCGCTGTTCTGTTTGCTTAACTGTACACAGACGCAACGGTAATAACATTAGGGGGACTCACTGCATGCTTGTCACATCTTTTCTGGAAAGGTTAATAAGATTACAATCATTTTGAGACGGGAATACTGTATAGTCAACCATTCTTCTTAGGATAGTCAACCGTTATTTGTAGGAATAAGAATGGCAAAGTACCCCAGATTCATAGTAGCAAATGATTTAACCATTTTCCATTGCTATCACAAAGACCATTTCCATTGGGTAGGGCTTCTGAGCCTAAGCAGATAAAATTAACACTATGTCTTGTGGAGGAAAAGATGGCTCAAAACTTCCATCGCTATCATTGAATTTTACTTGAAGTTGTACTGAATCGCAATCCTACTTTGGTTAACTCTGCATTCACTACAGCAAAAGTCGAGCTTAACAAGCAAGGGAATCATATACTTAATCTAGTTATGTGCACTGCAGGCATCAGCTTTATGACCATTTCTAAGGCAGTTCGAATACAAAAGTTCCAACTGCTTCTTCAGCTGGAGAGGATCACAACTAAACAAACAAACTGCACCGTTCCCACTAGTTATAAATCTCAACCAGTAACATCAAAATTTAAGCTTCTAACTCATCTAAGATTCTAAAATGGCCAAGCCTTTTTCTCCAGGAAGTATACATGGGGTACAAGGAAAACAACGAGAATACAAAAATAAGACCTTTAAACCATCCAAGTGAATCCTTACAAAAGGCTTCAGCCCATAAGTTAGCCTGACACAATCAACTGTACTGTCTAGTTACAGATATAGGGTGATCGGGAATGCAATACAGAAGCTTCTATTCATTTCTCCACTTGATATAAATTTGTTTCAAACGGTGAAAAAGAATACCTGAATTCCGGTATACCCAAAATGAACTCCAGAAATAATGTCATTAGAACGTCAATGAAAGCTTCATAACATCTCTTCCTTAGAGCAAGGCATTTTCTAAATATGGAAATAAAAGAATTGTGGGTTGTAAAGAAACTACCAGCTATATTCCTCTGGAATAATGGGTTCTATATATTAAGGCCATCGAAATCACCTTCAATGCGTAGGCCATTTAGACCTTATTTATACAAACAAAATAATCTAGGGGCAAATACTGTTACATTTCAAATCTGCAAATGTTTTGGCATAACAGGAACTCTAACTGATATAACAGTATTATAAATTAAAGAATGATTTTTCTTTCTCAATTTGTAGGCAGATGCAAAGAGATTAGTCTTTAGCTGATCGTGCAAACACTTCAAGAGAGTAAATGGTGCTGTTATTTTCTATGATACTCACCCAATCAGAGGATCTAGATTCTACAGCCTTTTACCCAGAAAGAGAGCTAGGGCAGCAGGGTACCCTCAAGAGGACACATCTCCTACGTTAAACACCATATCTCCTGCCTCAGGGAATACTCCTATATTGAAGCTTTTGTTAAACACTGTATCTCCTATATCAGTGAAAAGTAATGCAAGAATTTGCAAGGTGCATGCTAGTTCCATTGACATCACCACTTGGATTATAATTGTCTAGATTATAGGTAATGATTAACTCAAATAGACAAATCTCATAAACTAATTTTCATGTTATCCAATAAAAGCAGGAGTATTGATATTTCATAAAAACTGCTATCTCTAATCCAAAATTTTCCTTTAAATTCTATATACACAACTACAAATAAGTATTTAACAAGTTTCGCTCTTCTACAATGTTAAAAAAGAGTAACATTATGTTAACATCTCATTGAATTCAACAGAAAACTAAACACAATGGAATCCAACAGCCTATAAAATTATCAGATTATGGAAATTCTAAACAGTGGCGATGACTGGAAGGAAGGTCCTCAAAGCACATCCGAAAGAGGTTTACTTCTTGATGATCTCCCTCCCTTAAAGGTCCTTAAACTTTTGGATAATGGAAATCAATCATAAAAAAATAGTCTCAAATTAGGACTTAATCACCAGTCAAAAATTCTCTCCTTCTCCTAATCCAATAACAGCTGAAATCAAATCTGTAATCTAAATGATATTATTCTAAACCAATTCCAGCAGCAATCAAATCTGTAATCTAAATGATATTAAGATCTAAACTTTTCTTCACTAACACATACTATGATGCACGAGCCACCGTCACGCTGAGTCATAAAAGACATGGACTGATCTCGTTAGTCATGTCTTAATTTCATTATGAATGAACATGGAACAAGAATTAAAAACTAAAGGATTCAAAAAAAAACTTATTCTTCAATAATGTAATAATTCGAGTTTGATTATGATCGGTACAAATGATAGAATCCATCCAACATCTCCCTGGAGAAACAGCTCTTCATTTGAATGTTAGTTGTACAAGAAGAACACTGTGCAATGGACACATATATTAAGAAGAAACACAACATCAATGTAAGTCACAGATTGCGGAACAGAACAACCATAATGCAAGATCAATCACCTGCATCATAGCTGGACATTATCCAAGTACCACTTATATGTATCCACAAGTCCATCCCGCAGCGAAATCTTCGGAAGCCAACCCAATGATTCAATCTTGGAATTGTCCATAAGCTTCCTGGGAGTGCCATCAGGCTTGCTGCTATCCCAGACCAACTCCCCTTCAAACCCCACAACCTCTTTGACTAATTCAGCTAACTCTTTAATCGTCACTTCCTTACCACTCCCAACATTAACATGCTCCAAATCACTGTAATTCTCCATCAGGAAAACAACCGCATCAGCCAAATCGTCAACATGTAGAAACTCCCTTAATGGGGTCCCACTTCCCCAAACAACAACCTTTTCATCTCCCCTCAATTTGGCTTCATGAAACCTCCTCAGCAAAGCAGGCAACACATGGGAGTTTTCCGGATGAAAATTATCATTCGGCCCGTATAAATTCGTCGGCATAGCAGAAATAGCATCGAATTTATACTGCAACCGATGGGCTTGACACATTTTAATCCCGGCAATCTTGGCGACGGCGTACCATTCGTTGGTGGGCTCTAATGGGCCGGTTAACAACGCCTCTTCCTTGATGGGTTGCGGGGCGAATTTGGGATAAATGCAAGAACTGCCCAGAAAGAGAAGCTTCTTGACGCCATGAGCGAACGAGGAAGTGATGACGTTGGTCTGGATTTGGAGGTTAATCGTGATGAAATCGGCGGGGTAAGTGTTGTTGGCGTGGATGCCGCCTACTTTGGCGGCGGAGAGGATGACGTAGTGGGGTTTCTCGGCGGCAAAGAAGGCGTCGACGGCGGATTGGTTAATGAGATCAAGGTCGGAGTGGGTGCGGAGGAGGAGGTTGGAGTAGCCTAGAGATTGGAGCTTCCGGACAACGGCGGAACCGACTAGCCCGCTGTGGCCGGCAACGTAGATTTTGGCGGATTTTTCTATCGCCATTTGGACACGATTGGATCTGCGCCGGAAAGAGAGAAAAGGCAGACTGAGAGAAAAACAAAGGAAAAGTTATTTACTTTGATGGGTTGTGCTTGAGTTTACTTGTTGACGATGGAATTTGCCTAACTGCCTAGTAATTTTCACGGTCAAACTGTCAAAACTGTTTTTTACTTTTTACCGGGGAAAAGATAATTGTACCAGCCAGTCCTTGCTTTTGCTCATCTTCCCTCCTTCAATGTCTGCTGGAATCCCTCTCTCTTTTCAATTTCATTGCAAGTGTTACATACTAGAAGCTTCCTTCTCTGTCTCTTTTCTCTCCATCGATGGAAAAAACAAACATGAGACTCACTTCATAAAATTTTACATCTAACCTTTTCCGAATTTGGTTAAGAATGAATTGAACTATTCGTTTGAAATGAGATTATGTAACTAATATACAAGGACGGAATTAAGGGATTGGGGGCGTTTAACCTCCAGCTGATTGGATTTTTCATGAGTAAGAGTGTCCATCGATTGAAATTTTTATAATTCAATCTTTTGATGACGCTTGAATAACTTTATTTTCGACTTAACAATTTAAAAGTTTTCTGTGACAGCTAATAGATTTCTTTTCACTCTCAATCTAATAGTACTACAAAGTATAGATCTATGTCATTCCAATTAAAATTGCATAAGCGATTTAAGATTTGATATACGAACCTATACCTCAGAAGAAAACATCACATCGATGAATAAATATGGAATTCCATGCTTAAAATTAAAAGGTTTCTACAGCATATTAGAGAAAAAAAACGCTAAATAAATATCCAACCTCCATATAAATCTACTATTTTCTCACCAAGCAAAAGACCGGTAGAAATTTTACATGTGCACCACTTTTTATCCATTGATCCAAGGGTAAATAATTTCAGTTATGTTAATTTTGAGACATGGAGATAGGGAATGACATTAACATAACAGGAAAACTACAAAATAAACTACAGTTAAAGTTTCCTTGACTTTTTTGGACAACTATGGTTTGGTGGACAGTATTGTATGCAAAAGAAAAAGCGAATTCAGGTTATGTATTCTTTTCAATTACAGTTATGTTAATAAATATTTGATTTGTTTACTATATGTACTTTTATTAGATTGTGACTACAGTAAACACAAATACTACCAGTAATAATAACAATTAAGTTACATGTATTTAGATTGTTTATATATAGGATATACTTTTTATCAGAATAACTACAATGAAAACAAATACTGCAAGTCGAGTTAAATTATCTAATAGAAGAGCACTTGAACATGTTGCGATGTGTATGTGTTTTTTTTTTTTTGTATATAAAAAACGTGGATCGACAAAATCCATTTGAGGTTTGTAAATCCTTGTCAATAAGGGTTCCGGACTTCCGATTGCAATAAATAAACCCTTAATTAAGAGTTTTGTGTGCAACACAGTAACACAATCCGTCACAGTGATGGAGATATCTCCTCGGCAGTCCGTCTACCACCTGCCGGAGTTGGTGTCGGAAATTCAAGTCCGTATACAAACTCTGGCAATCAATTATTAGTGACCCGATATTCGCTGGATTACATCAGCGCCGTGGTGCTTTTAGGGGGATTCTGATTTCTAATGTCGACTATGAAACCACATTGCTGAGATTGAAAACGTGTTACATGAGTCTTGAAACCAAACAAATATCTCATCACGACACAATTTTTCCTCCCGACGGTGGCTTCGGATGCAGCTGCCCGGTCAACGGGTTTGATGTGCTTCTACGACCAAACCCACTCCTACATTCACAATGTCGCAACCCGCGAAACCCTACAACTTCCCGATTCAACTCTTAGTGATCTCAACTCTTATGGTCACTTCTGTGGATACCATCTTGGTTTTGATCCGGTTCAAAAGGTTTACTAGGTGGTGAAGTTATCCCGGGTCGACCAGTTTTCGAGTACCTGGTTTTGGAATTGCGAGACTCTCACCTTTGGAGCCCGTTGTCGTCTGGGACCGGCATCCCGGCCGTGGTCGTGGAAAAGCATTGATTCCCCCGATGTTTTCATCGACATTGATTGGCATAAGATATTGGAGCAGCGTTTGTTACGATGGAGTTTTATACTGGGATGACAATGTAGTGAGGAGAGAAAATCCCATTATCTACGCTTCCAATCTTTCTGAAGAGAGATTTTTCGTCATCCGCATGCCACAAAGTTATGAAGACTGTAGAATGTTATTAAGTTTGGATATCCTCTTACACAATATGCCAAGCAAAACAATGAACACAAAATCATATCTTCTCATGTTAAATATAATCATGATACGGATAATGGCCTAGTAGAAGTAACATCAACCGAGACGAAGTTTGAGTTTCCGATGGATGATGACGTCCTTATCATCATGGGTATACTCCCAAACGGGAAGGTGTTGATGTATCAATATGATGATCCCCGGAAAATTCCAACCTCACTGGTGACGGATGGGTATTTCAATTTCACTACTTGACGTTATCTACCTATCTATCTTATTACGAGGAGAACATTCTGCCCCTAAAATGTTTGGTTCCATAACTTTATAAAAAGTTGTTGTATAAGCTGCTACTTCTTGTAGCTTATATGTCTCTATGTAGCTTGCTCATTTCAGATTCATGAAGCCCAAGGCTGACGAACCTAGCATTTAGAGCAAAATTGCGTCAAACTTCCTCTATTCCAAAATTATTGTTCAATTTAAATTTTCACTTTTAGTTCAATTTATACTGAAAACTGAAAATCCAAACTGGACCATAATAATGTCGGGACGGATGGAGTATACTGAATGCTACCATCTCTCAAGTGAACAATATTATGACGGTGGAATTGCTGATCAGAGCGTGGTGAGCTGTTAGGTGTTGTTCATGGATCCTAAGTCGGGAAAATTCATGATTTACTAGGGGGAGATTGGATTGTTGTGGATTTTTTTTTTTTTTTGGGTATTCATAGCTCCTGGTGGTCGAGACGGACCTACCGCGGCTTACACTTACATTTTATTGTGGTTAGATCACGACATGATTGAGATATCTTACTCAATATGGTATTAAGTTAAGTTTTCGGGATTTATCTTTTATTTTATGGAGGGGGAAAAAAAGCGTTGGAACAATTCAGAATATTTTATGTCATGTAGATTCGATTTTGAAGTTTTCAAGTAATTAAGTATTTAGGGTTAAGGGTTTCGGATTTAGATGAATTCAAATTCAGATATACAGAGTTGACTAATGTGATTTTACACTTTCAGTAAATACCAGAAAGTAAAAACCATTCACTATCAATTAGAAAGTTATTAGTGTTTTTTTGCAGTTTGTACATATATTGAAGTCCTGCAATATTTTTTTAAAAAAAAAGGAAAAAAAAAGAGAAGTCTTGCAATCTTAATGTTTGCGGATACATTGGCTAAAGAAGCTTTTACACTAGATATGTATGGGCTTTTGTGTTGTTTTTTTTCCCATGTAATCCAGAACTTCATGAGCGATATAAGGTAGCGAAGCCGACAGCATTAGGTGAGACTCTTCAAAGGTTATCCTTTCATGTTGATTCCTAATTAATTAAAACTTAGAGAGATGATATAGATCTTTTTCTGATGAGTGATTTCTAACTTAGCATTAACAGTCAATAATTAAGCTGTAGTATAAGCTAACAGAATCAATACAGAAATATCAGGGAGCATTCGTTAAAGACAGGCTGATTATCTATAATATCTCACTCACGCAGGAGATGGTGCACCTCTATAATAGGAAGAATGCTTCGCCACGGTGTCTTATGAAGGTGGACCTCCAGAAAGCATACGATTCAATTTCCTGGGATTTTGTGACTGAGGTGTTGGCAGCTTATCGATTTCCAAGTAAGTTCACTGCTTGGATTTATGAATGTATTTCTACTTGTAGTTTTTCACTTTGTATGAATGGTGGATTATCTAGTTTCTTTGAGGGGAAAAGAGGCATTAGACAGGTGATCCTGTATCCCCTTTGTTATTTGTTCTTTGTATGGAATATCTAAGTCGACTTTTTAAGTCTGAGATTAGATTGGGGGGTCGCTTTCACCCTAAATGTAAAAGACTACAGATTACAGATCTCAGCTTTGCTGATGATTTGATAATCTTATGTAGCGCTGATCAGGTGACTGTTAGTAGGGTTAAGAAAGTGTTAGATGAATTCTCTGCTACATCAGGTTTAAAAGCGAATAAGAGTAAATCTCATGTGTATTGTGGGCGTGTTAGTGAAAAAGTAAGACAGCAAATACAGGGCATTTTGGGATTCAATAGAGGAACGTTTCCAATGAAGTATTTGGGGGTGCCTATCTCTCCTCAAAAATGGAATGCTGTTGATTGCCATACTTTGGTAGAAAAGATTACAACTAGGGTTAAGTGTTGGACAACCCTGACGCCTATTCTATGCTGGGAGGGTTGTGTTGGTTAATGCGGTTCTCTTGAACTTACATACTTACTGGGCTTCCATTTTCATGTTGCCTTGGAGTATAATTACACAGGTGGTTAGAATTTGTAGAGAGTTTCTTTGGGGGAAGAAGGAGAATGGAAGAACGTATGCTCTTATAGCCCGGGATGAGCTTTGCAGGCCTAAAAAACATGGGGGGTTAAACTTCAAGGAGCCTTTTTTTGGAATCAGGCTGCCCCGGGTAAGCAAATCTGGGACTTAGCAGAAAAGAAAGACAATTTATGGTTAAAGTGGTGCCAGGAGTACTATTTAAGGGGGCAGACTATCTGGAATTATGAGCCTGGACATTGAGTTCCTTGGTATTGGAAGAAGTTGTTTCAGGTTAAAGAGTTACTTAACCCTAATGTATTACTTAAAACTAATGTGTTACAGGATAGATGGGAAGAATGGTCATTAATATGTTAAGGCAGGTTATGAATGGTTGAGGGGTCTTGGAATTAAAATGAAGGGTGCTGAAATAGCTTGGAACAGTTATAGTGTTCCAACGCATTGCTGCATTTTATGGCTGGCCTTGAAAAGGAGACTTCTCACTTCTGATAGAATGATCAGGTTGCCATTTATTAGTCAACCTCTATTGTGCTGCTTATGCTCAGCTGAAGATGAATGTCTTGACCATCTTTTTTTCAAATGTAAGTATGCCAGTTTGGTGTTGCAGAAACTTCTTAGATGGCTGGATTGCAAAGGAGTACCTGATAAAATCAATGTTTGGGAAAACAGACTGGTAAATACTTGGAAATATAGCAGAGTTAAGAGGCGGATTTTATATGCAGTGCTGGCTGCTGCAGTATATCACATCTGGGAAACTCAGAAATATGATTCAGCATGGAGGAATTCTGATGAGTGAAGGCAAGGTAGTGGAACTAGTGGAATGGGAGATGGCTTGAAGGATTAGAATGCGTTGTCAAAATTTGAAACAGAATGAGAAGAGGTATATTGATAAATTAGGTTTCTAAATGTACAGGTAGATAGCTTGCTGAGTGTGAGTTTTTTTTATGTAATAGCTTGATAGTTTGTAAACAGAGAAAAGTTGTTGAGAAGTTAAATATATATTAACCTTTCACCAAAAAAAAAAATCAATACAGAAATTCTTTCCAAATATTACCGTCTTCTTCCATGGATTCTGTATGAACCCTTGCCAAGCTTTTCAAGATTGATATCTTGTTTTATAAGGGTTGAAAGCTTTTCTTGTTTCTAGAGTGTAGACATTCATTTCAAGAACATGTACTAGTTTAATTCAACACGATATTGGTCGTTCGACATAGGATGACACTTCCAAGTAATTTCTTTTCACCACCCCCTCCTCCTCCCAGAAAAAAGAATAGAAGTAAGAAGAAGGAAGGCCAAAAAAGAAATTAAAAATAAATTCAAAAGTTGTGCTATTTGCCTCCAAATAAGAGTCATCCAATAGTATTGTTTCAGTTTAACATATACATATATATATTGTTTCAGTTTAACATATGTATATATATATATATATATATATATATATATGCTCTCCTGTGTGGATAGTATCTATTTTTTAAAATTAAATTTTTTTTTTTGCGAATTTTTATCAGTAGAAATTTTTTAAAAACGTGTTGCGTTGAAAAAGAAAATGCATTGAAAGTTGTAAAAGATTAGCTTACAATGGAAGCGTCTGAAAGGGCGATGTCCAAACATGGTTAAATTGTTATATTTATACGCGTAGATATAACATCTTTAATTAATTTCTAGGCTTTCTAGATATTTGGTGTTCCAGGACCGTGAGTAGTTAATTAACAAGGAAAATAACGTACTTTTGCCAATGTCCATATTTTCCTATACTTTCTTAAAACGGGTTTGAGTCGCAATTTTTGACCTGGGAATGACCATCGACGTATGATATGTCATCTTGACTTTTGACTTTAACAAAATGCATAAACCTCATCAAAACGGAGACAACTCAAGGAATATAACAGCATCGAGTATGCTTTCGTTTTTATTGAGTTAACTAAGTTAATATTTCCTTCGTCCCAGAAATAATTTTTTATTTAGTAAATTATTTTTAGTATTGATTGTATTATAATTAGAATTTAAATTGACTAATCATTTTGAGGCCAAAAAAAATAATAAAAATTACATTAGAAGCGTGACAAAATAAAAAAATGTAATATTTTGCATAGTATGATGTAAAATGAAAAATACATGTCGATATCTTTATTTTAAGGATTTTCGTTTCAAAAGATCGCCAATGTGGTTCACGGCAACAGCAAAAAAATAGAGTGGAAAAGAGTGATAAAAGTCATAGTCCTCTAGAAGTGTAGAACCGAGAACGCGTTACAATTTCTTCATCCATTTAATTAAGACTTACATCAGAAAGACTACTTCAACAACCAGACAAGAAAGCTTCAAAAAGTGAGTTCTAATCTTACATGTGTTTCTTCACCTATAAATACTTGACCAATATCAAAATCTCTTTCATCACCTATTCACCTCAAACACTAGCTAAGTACGCAGTTCCGATCTGCAACTTCATTCCAAACAAGCATATATCATACCCCAAAAGTTCTATACATATCTAATGGCGGCAACTAACGGAGGACAATTCAAGGTCGGTACGATGCCGGCGGTCAATCCATATGGCCGGGCGGATGAAGAGTTGGCCACGGTGGCTCAAAGGGAAGAGCGTCGCAAGAGACGTATGAAATGTTTCGCGTACGTTGCTGCTTTCGCGGTGTTCCAAACCGCGATCATCTTGATCTTCGCTCTCGTTGTCATGAAGGTAGATGCTCCCAAGTTCCGGGTGAGATCCGCCACGTTTGATGATTTCCAAGTTTCAACATTGAACACAAATGCTTCATTCAACATTAGGATGAACGCGAATCTCGCGATCAAGAACAAGAACTTTGGCCGGTACAAGTACGAAGACAGCACCATCGAGTTCTTCTATCAAGACATTAAAGTAGGGGAAGCTGCGATCCCTAGCGGCAAGGCTAAGTTCCGGTCGACCAAGAAGTTCACCGTTCCAGTGGTTTTGTCATCGGCTAGTGTGCCCGGGAATGTGCTCGGTGATGAGTTTTCTAGGCATGCATGGGTCCCGTTGACTAGCAGGTCAACGTTGAAAGGAAAAGTGAGGTTGATGCTGATCTTCAACAAGAAGAAGTCCACCAACATGAATTGTATCATGAACCTTAACATCTCATCAAAGCAGCTCCAGGATTTGGTTTGCCAGTAATTTAATGATCAACTTCAGATTTTGTGTATGACTATGATATTTTCCTAGTGTTTGCGAATTCTTTTATTCATTTTCTTGTTCAAGGGGGCAGCAATAGTAGTAGGGCATTCGTTTATTAATTAGGTCCCTGATTTGGTAATAATCGAGTTTGTACTTTTTACATTATACATTAATATTTTTATGCATTGCTTTCATTACTACTAATATATGTTTCCTTCTCGACTCCTCTTGTTTCCTCTGTGTTAAAAAAAAATGCAAAAAATTTGTCATGCTATATGTCTTCGCTTAAAAAATTAAACTGATTTTATAGGATGGAAAGAATATAAAACTAACAAGGATCAATACTCTTATTTTGCGATTATGTCGATTAGATCGTACGTTCGATTAATCTGTTGTGTCGTTCATCCACCGTGATAACAAGGATTCGGAAGCATAAGTAGCTTGAGGTCCTGAACAGTTAAGTTAGTTGACTGTATTTTTTGTGGGAGTGCACACTATCAAGAATTTCCCAGCAAGCTCCTATCCAAACTCTCATACGGCCCCAAGTGGCACCGTTCTTAATACTACACCCAAATCACCTTTTGACAAATAGTAGTGAATTAATTTTTAACACCGGTATAATTTTCTACCTTACTGGGTTGAGCCAATGTACAAAGTACTCCATAACAATAGTGGTCTCCCAATTTATTCGCAGTAATCCACCATCGTCTACGTCGTCATCAAATCAGAGCTAATCTGCCGCAGCCTACGTCATCTTATCAGCACTAATCAGCCGCTGCCGTCATCATCTATTTGTACTACATGTGACATGTCTGATATTTAAGCACGACAATCTGGCAGTTTCGCATTTGGGAATTGGCGAAATTTGCCAATTTGGAGAACAACCACCTCGTATATTGGGATTGGCAACCATTTGGGAGTTGGTCATTATGACGAGAAGTGTGGTTGTTTGCTTCTGTGTCTTGAAGGCATATTTTGTACTCCTTTTATTTCAAAATTTTGTCCACTTTGAAATTCCACTTTCAGTGTAATTTAAACTAAAAGTAAAAATTCAAACTGAATAATTATTTTGAGATGGAGGCGGTACTTGTAACAGGGAAAATAGCTAGCCAATAGTAAATTTAATTTCTTTATAGCCAAGATCAAACTCTGGTGTGGAATTCTATTTCAAGACAATTCGTCCATCATTCGCATTCATTTAAACTATCATGGAAGAGAGAATGTCCAAATTTAGAAGTCAGAACCATGCATATTGCAACCAAATATGCCACCACTATACATGCAACATGATTTATTTTGAAGTAGCTCAACTCATCAAAAGTTCTTTTAAAAAAATAAAAATAAAAAATTTGAACCCCATCACAAGGGTTTGGATTTTGATATTGAGGCTCTTAATCAGTTAATTGGTGCATGCACAGCAACATAAACAAAATTGGAGCTGATGTCCATTCCGTTATCTCTCCTTTCCTTTCATGGAAAAGTCTTGAAGCCCCTTCATGGCAGCTTGGATATATAGTTTTGATCCTTAAGACCTTGGCAACACTAAACGTTAGAAGATAAAGGGATGGCAACAAATGCAACAAATATTATTATGACCAGCTCTGCTACCGACAGAAGTCTTAGCAGTAGTGTTCATCCCATTAAGGTGATGAAAGATACTCGATCGCTTACTGGATAGAGACATAGTATGTGTTTTCAATCGCAGAAAAATATACGGATTTGTATTACCGAATACGACTAAATAATACTCTCTATGTTCTAAATTTATTGTCCAGTTTAAAATTTTACTTTTAATACAATTTAAACTAAAAATAATAATCAAAATTAGAAATTATTTGGGACCGAGGGCAGGGGAGGATGCCCCCACTGACTCCAATTTTTAATTTGAAAGGTACCGAGGGTATTATGTACTGTTTCGGCCTTTCGGGTGAAAATGGAGCTCAATTCTTCAGTAAAATACCCATAGCGCAGACCTCCCTCTATAGAAATGATGACTTTACATTGACAATTGAATAAATTTAGCTAGGGTTTCACCACGTAGCGAACTTCCAATTCCTACCAAATTCGATTTTATGTACCAGTCTAACCATTTCCAATTTCAACTATTAATCTTATATACCAAATTTAAAATTCAATCATGATTAATTTTTGTGAAATACCTGAGAACTTTATAAACATGACTTCGTATTTATTACACGTGTATATTTAGATCATCGCATCAAACGCTCCCAACAATTAATCAACACCAATCAAATGAACAAGCAAAATAAAATAGAAAAAATAATTTGATTTCTTTTTCCTCGTGATCCTGTTTTAAACAATGATTAAGATGAAAAATGATTGTCTAGCTAATTGGATAAGGGAGTTTGTCATGTCTATTATCAATGTGAAAATATGAAGAGTGGTCGTGACTGTAAACAAGAAATCTGTGTTATGTCTTTTAATGAGACAATAATTTCATGTTGAGATTTATCTCATTTCTTAGTGATTTTGGTTAAATATTATTCTCACTGTCCCGAAATAATTATTCAGTTTGAATTTTTATTTCTAGTCCAATATATATTAAAACTGAAGATTCAACAAAACAATAATTTTAAAATAGAGGAATATTTTTTTTACACGCGTAATGTATTATATGAAGGTGCCCAAATTTCTATCTGGCTCCCCACTGAGGGAGGGGGTATTTGCTAAAACTAGTCATTCTTCATTAATACAAAATGTTGGTAAAGCCTAAATTAACATATAAAAATGTTCAGTACGTCATTTCACATTTCCATTTCACTATCTCTATTATCCCATCAGGTTTTAAACTTTTAATAATGTTACCTCCTACAGTAAGGAACCTTTCATCTGGAACGGACGTCCTCAGGGCTACATCCCCTCTTGTTGAATTTTTCATGTCCAGGAAACGAGTTATCAATTTCTAAATTAGGGGCCTTCATTTTCAGGTTAATTAACAATAGTAAACTTAAACGTGTTATTTTGTTTAATTTTATTGGTACTTAACGTCTTTAATTGGTTTCTAGAAAATCCGACGTATTAAGAGTGAGTGCTTTTTGTCAAGGTCTATTATCCCTGATTTTAAAAACAAGGTGGGTCGCAATGTTTGACCTGGTCAAGATCCATTTGACCTGATATTACATAAATTTCTTAGTCCTTGTGAACATCGTATCTTGACTTGTACATATGCAAAAATCTTAGTGGACAAGACGAACCCTGAACGCGTACTCAGATTTACGTTGTCGCAACCATAACACTAGGTTGAACAGACTACTTCAAAATATGAGTTCGAAATTAGAAAGCTTCAAAACTTGAGTTCTAATCATACATATGTGCTTTCTCTTCACCTATAAATAATCCATAGATACCAAACCTGTTCCATCACCACACCTATTAAATTCACAACCACGTTCAAAACATCCACATATATACAAAAAGAAGAAGAAAAAACCACGTCCATTTTATTCATTATTTCCTAGATATGGCAGCAGATATGGAACGATTGAAGGATCCTCAAGGGGAAGAGCGCAGAGCGAGACGTATGAAATGTTTAGGATACGTTGCTGCTTTCGCCGTGTTTCAAACCGCGATCATATTGATCTTCGCTCTCGTTGTCATGAAGGTCGATGCTCCCAAATTCCGGGTGAGATCCGCCACGTTTGATGATTTCCAAGTTTCAACGTTAAGCACCAATGCATCATTCAAGGTTAGGATGAACGCGGATCTCGCGATCAAGAACAAGAACTTTGGTCGATACAAGTACGAAAACAGCACCATGGAGTTTTTCTATCGAGACATCAAAGTAGGAGAAGCTGTGATTCCAAGCGGCAAAGCTAAGTTCCGATCGACCAAGAAATTCACTGTTCCGGTGGATTTGTCATCGGCTAAAGTGCCCGGGAATGTGCTTGGTGATGAGCTTCTTAAGCATGCATGGATCCCGTTGACTAGCAGGTCAACGTTGAAAGGCAAAGTGAGGTTAATGCTGATTTTCAACAAGAAGAAGTCCACTAACATGAACTGTACCATGAACCTCAACACCTCATCAAAGCAGCTCCAGGATTTGATTTGCCAGTGATCAACTTCCGCTTTGTAGTTCAATTATGGTTATAGTATTTTCCTGGTGTGTTTTTTTTTTTTAAAAAAAATTCTTTTATTCTTTTTCTTTTTCAAAGGGGCAGCTTATGTAGGTCTGTGTTTATATATTTAGGTACCCTGGATTTGTTGCTTATTGATAGCTTGTACTGAATTGTGCTTTAATTAATTTTCCGCACCATTTCTTTTAGAGTAATGATGTCCCACTATATTATTATAAATTTACTCATAACTCTACTTACATAGCAATCCTAATTGGCCATCCTTATCATCACCTCATAAATTTCTAATAATACTCAGTTAAAAAATTAAAACCAATATTTACTATTAAATTTCTTTTTGCCTTTTTTTTCCATCCTCAAACCATGGTTCATTTTTTTGTTTTAATCTCTGTCGTTAGAATTCATATATCAACAATCTCAATTAATCAACAAATAGCTTGTAATTGTTGCTCAAAATTCCAAAGAAAGGAAAAAAAAAAAAAAAAAACTAACATGGTTGAAGGTACGAGTCTGACGTACTCTCACTTTTAAGCTGGAATCATCAGTTAATTAATCAAGAAAGTCATATAAATTTACATTTAATATTGCTTCTGTCTCGAAATTAATCTTCAGTTTGAGTTTTCATTTTTAGTTAAGTTATACTAAAAGTGAAATTTTACTAATATTGGGACATCAGGGGTACATGATTTTAGCATGCCATGTATGATAGACTTCTAAATCTGCCTTGCTGAGTTCTTATTGATCAAGAACCATACGATCAACTGGAACTCCTTTTTGTTCCCAAAAGAGCATCGTCTTAAAGCTTAAGATTGCATTTCAAAAATGGGATTCAGAGATGAATCAAGAGGTTAAATGGTCGTTGATGTTGTAATGTATACTTTGAAATGAATTAATTGCGATTGTGAAGGAGAAGAAGATCGAGCAATGAGTGAAAGAGAAGGAAGACAGGGATTAAAACAAATAATAACAATAACAAAATTGTTTCCTTTATTTATTGATGAGTATTATACAAACCATGATACAGGAATTCAACAACGACACTTAAAGGGAAATGCGCACACAAAATAAAAGCAACAAGTACTGATAATCTCTTCATGCCAGGAAGAGGGGGAACAAAAGCACACCACATACAAATTTCAAACCAACCAAATTACTCCCTCCTCCGTTCCGAAATTCTTATCCAGTTGGTTTTTCAGTTTTAACACAAATTGAACTAAAAATGAACATCGAAACTGGAAAATAATTTTGGGATAGAGGAATTACTTAAAAACAGAATCCCAAATAGCATTCAAATTCGGACCATAGTTGTGGTCTCTTCGTCACTTTGCAGCATGTCCTTGCATGTTATTTCAACCCCAAATAACATATTTTGTCTTGGCATTTGCAACCTGGAAGGAAGCAGCCCAGGAATACGCAACTTTCACCGCATGGAATGGGACCAGCAAGTCGACTCAACAACTCGCTCTGAAAGATCTTGTCGGCGGTTGCAGAAGTTTCCACTCCGTTAGCCATCTGCATCGTCTTTATGATAAGCATCTTCTGGGTGATTTCATTGACCAATTCAGGTGGTGGATTGACGAGTCATAAAATAAACCCTAACCCTAATGGGTTTGGGCCGGCTACCTTAGAGGTTAAGTCACCGCCTAAACCTAATACGACTAGGTTTCAAGAAACAGGTAACACCACCTCTATATAAAGAGGTGGTACCTCCCTCATAATTGATATCTGATACACGTATCTTCTACCTCTCTCCCTATTCTTTCTATCCCTTTATTGACTTAAGCATCAGAGAGTCTATCCTCGGGAGGCACCCAAGGCTCTGTCTTGTAGGTTTTAGGCCGTTCGCCGCCGCCTAGGTCATCATCTCCGCCAGTCCTAAGCACCGTACAAATCCAAGCTTCGTCAAGTGGCACGCCAGTGGGACCAATTTGTTTGGTCCTTACAACCAAATAAATTTCTTAGTGAAGCACGGAATCTTTTGTATCTTTCGCAGCCACGGTGTTAATTCGTTGCTCCGATTTTGCAACTAGAAGATCACGCAAAAAATTATCTTTGTTTGGGCAAGAAGACGTCAGCCGACAAGTGGCACAAAGAAGCTTTCGATTTCACAGATAATCGAGGAGCTGCACTCGCCCCACAGCTGATCGAGAAGAACAATTAGCAAGGGGCATCCTCGAAGGTTGAAGTTTCGAGAGATACATCTCCTCGAAGGGGCAAGCATCCCTCGAGCACTTTACTACTACTTGAAGTATTCGAGAAGACGTATCTCGACTTTTAGCTACTCAACTATTACCTTCTCAGAATCGAGGTAACACTTTCTCGAATAATCAATTTATTACGAGATCGAGGTACTTCTAAAACCTTTTCATGCTTTAATATCTGATACCATTATCATACTACTATCATATCACGATATCTTTTTAAGCACGATTAAAGGAATCTTTCAAGGAACTAAACCTCTAGGAAAAATTCTCATCACCCTGCAATGAGGAAAATCACCTCGGGGTTGCCTTCAATGAGGGAAACGTACTCGGGGCACAAACTGAAAAAAACCCTAGGGGAAAGGAACTTAAGAGATCATCCTAACATCTTCTGCTTGAACGGATATTCCTTAGGAGCATCTTATTACTACATGTCATTATTATTTTGTATTGTATCTCAATGATCTACGCACTTGCAGTCCACCACGCAAACAAGGATACTCGCGGTCCACCGAGCAAACAAGGACACTCGCGGTCCACTGCGCAAACAAGGATACTCGCGGTCCACCGCACAAACAAGGAACTCTTCTAACACAAAGACCTCCTCGAGGCATTCTATCTCTCTTTATCTTATATAGGTGACACCCGAGAACGAAAAAGTTCAAGAACTGGGGCAACACTATGAAACTTGAGGAAACGCAACACTCGTAGCAACCCATATTCTTCTCATCAAGTCTCGAGAATATGGCTTGCTAGGGGCACTTGACGAGTCATAAAATAAACCCTAACCCTAATGGGTTTGGGCCGGCTACCTTAGAGGTTAAGTCACCGCCTAAACCTAATACGACTAGGTTTCAGGAAACAGGTAACACAACCTCTATATAAAATGGTGGTGCCTTCCTCATAATTGATATCTGATACACGTATCTTCTACCTCTCTCCCTATTCTTTCTATCCCTTTATTGACTTAAGCATCGGAGAGTCTACCCTCGGGAGGCACCTGAGGCTTTGTCTTGCAGGTTTTAGGCCGTTCGCCGCCGCCTAGGTTATCATCGCCGCCCGTCCTAAGTACCGTACAAATCCAAGTTTCATCACGGATCCTCCGTATTTATTTCACAGGACTCGATGCGGGTTTTAGTGGAATGAACTCCGGCCGACACAACTGGTTCCAAAATCCCAAACACTGCCCAAAAGGGACACAAAGAAAATAAAATTGGCTTAATGTAAAAGGACAGTAGTATTTTTTTTCTATTGAGAATGTAAAAATGTGTATTAGAAAAGTTAAAAAAGATATGATGAGATGTGACAGTTATTAATGCAAAATAATATATATGTATATATATATATATATAAACAGGGGCGGACGTACATACATCTGAGGTGGGGCAATTGTCCCAACTGAAAATTTTTTTTGCTAGTTAAATCCTGAAATTTTAGATTTTTTTTTACAAAATATTATTTTTTGCCTCACCTAAATTTAAGATAATAAGGGGCAAGTGTATTAATTTACAAGTGTTGAAAATTTTGCCCCATCATATCTTAGGGGCTTGGCTCCGCCCCTGTATATAAACCAATGAAAAAAACCAATTCCAAACAAATTATAGGATGATAATTGACTAATGCGCGCCAAAAATTACTTCAAAAGAGAGAGAGATATGATATAAAGTAACTTACACAGTTCAAGAAGCAACAAGGGGATGCAATAGTTTGTAAACTTAGCCATCAAATTTCCCTTCTCAAGAAATAGCACAATTATAAGAAACTGTGTTTATGATTTGTTTGGAGTGTTTGTCTGAGTTTCATTAGTGAATGTATGTCTATATATATAGGAATTAGGAAGGGGTGAGTTGATCATTTCTACGCTTGAACCGTAAACGCTCAATAATCCGTCAATATTAATCAAAATATTAATTCTTTTCATATGGGAAAAAATATAAAAGCTTTCCCACAAAAGATGTAAGAAGATTATATACCGAGTACGAAGATTCATTAATCCTATATGTAGCATATGTAAATTTTTATACTCTAATCCACAAAAGTTGTTGAATTTAAATAAATAGACCGGTTGTTGTACTATTTTCTTAGGAAGGAGACAGTAATAATTATTATTATTTTCATTTTTGAATTGTTTTGGAAGAGTAATTTGGTGATTTATACGTTAATGAGTCATCATTATCTCTTTTTCCCTCCCCGTAATAATTGAGACAGTTTTGTTCTGAAATAAAATTAAACAATTTTCCAGCATCGTGATCATTTGCTTAAGATCTGTGAATTTAACTGGAGAAATAAGAATACTGTTACAATTAAAACAAATTTAACAATTGATGATGAAGGAAATAATATTAAAGTTATCATGTTGGGACTGTGTCATAAAAATATAATAATGCAGAACAGTGATGGAACGAGAACTTTCAAATTACGGGTTCGAAAATTGGATTATTCAACCCTTACCGGAGAGTCGAACAAAAAAAAAAAATTATTTTAACGAACACCCTACTAAGGAAAAATTTGGCCAAATCTAGCCGACTCGGGGTCGATCGACCACCCTGATCCCCTTAAATCCGTCACTAATGCAGAATTAATGAGAAAATAGGAAGGAATGTTTTAGGTACGACTTTTTGAAGTAGAACTTTTAATCAATTTGGCCAAGTGTTCATTTAAATTATACAGGACTAATGTGTATATGTGAGAGACTGAGAGCCAATTGATCTGAATAAATCAAAAAGTCCACTCTCTGCCGTAACGTACTTACCAAGAACTCGTGGGTTTGAATGAATTGAAATCCTAATTAACAACCACAACTCTCTTTTCCCTTCTCCCTCAAAGCCAACTCCAAAAGAACAATTCTTCTCGCATCTTTTCATCATAGGAGGATAGAGGAAATAATTAGGTTTAATCGTTTTTCGCTTTTTTTTTTTAAATGTCTATCAAAGTTGGATTATTTTCACAAACTAGTTTTGGGTTTTAGTCCAGTAAATTATTTGTTTTTAAGAAATTAGAAAATTATACATCGACAGCACAATCATATACTCTATTTGTCCCAT